TCGGAACACCTTTCACCGCAACGGAAACAAGGCGAGGGAAACGTAAACGACGTTTCGGGATAAAATAGTTGTTTCTAAATGAAAAAACTGTTGTGATACAAAAATCAGATTAAAGCTGTTTGGTTGGTAACGAGCAACGTGGAAAACAATAACACCGAAACGCGGAGGCAATGAAATAATAATAAAACGCTACCCTCGGATCGATGCTCGGCGGGTGCGTTGCGCGGGAGTGCATGATCGTCAAAATTCACCCTCGAAACATCGTCGAAAAACAGCTGACGCTCGCGTAGCGATTCCCCGGGTCCAGTCAATTATCCCGTGACACTCGTAAGTGCGCCGATCAACAGGGGGCGAGGCCTCCTCTCGCGGAAGCAAACCCGACGGCGCGGTAGCACGTGTCGCGGCCGATGTACAAGGAAGATCGCGTCCCGGTTGAATCAAGATTTAATCGAATAATTCTGCCGGGATCTAATGGCGGGGAATAATTTATCGGGCTCGAGAGCCGAGCTTTCCTAGATTATTAAGCCAGACTCGGTGCGGTCTCCCAGCGCGCGGATCCCATCGTGGGATTGGCCGCGACAAGGCCAATTCCAGCCGAGGCGCGAACATCGCGAACTACTTAGCCGAGCGACACGTCCGTCATCTATCCGTACAGATTACCTTGATTTATCGTAATTTATGTTCCACCGGAGAGTGCTAGCGTGTTACCCGCGGGACCATTAATGCCCATCGATTCTCGCGGTCCGTTATGAAAGGATCTGCCATACTGTTTCGAACTCGGAAACCGTCTATACAGGGTGTCCCGCTTGACGCGATCACACGCATCCTCGTATCGTGGCAATTTAACTCGACAAGAACCGCAAACGTTTCGGATCGTTTCGTTTCTTTCAATACCTGTAGCCGTGGCTGGAGCACGGTTTGGTCACTTTCGCGTAGCCCACGTTGCAACGTCGGGTCGAAAAGGTCGTCGTCGTGGAACACGCCATTATTTTAATTGCTTCCATCGGGGACGAGTCGCAGGACAACTCCGTGGAGACGTTGCACGACATTGGTAAGGACCGGGACGACGTCGTTCGGTAGCCTGCGGTTTTTGCAGACTTTCCCACGGCTTCCCTGCGACCCCTCCCACGCGATGCCTCGAAAGGAAGCTGGTTGAATACGTACTATCTTAATTAGAATTGTAACCGCCATTAAACCTGACCGGCCGAGTCGTCTCCGCGTTTCTCTCGGTTGCTTCCTGCCTAACGCAACCTCGCAGAACCCCCCCTCGCCCGATCCGTTTGTCCTCCCGCGAGCCAGCTGAAATATTATCTTTAAGAAGAACGAATTGACCGCGTCGCGACACCCCCTAACCGGGAGAATTTCAATGTTCGACGCGGTCGATTTGCATCGCCCGCGGGCCAGTCGGAATTATTCATCGGTCTTAATGCAACCCGAGGCGATTGAACATTTTGCACGGGAATTTCAATGGCGCGCTACCAGCCCGCGACCGGCCCGGAACTAAAATCAACTAATGGCCAACTTTCCGCGACATCGACGGCTAATTGGTTGCCAAGCAACGTGGTTCGAAGATCAGCTCGAAAGATCGATTTATGTTTTTCACCACCTTATGGACTTTCATATATTTCAAATCATTGGGAAAAAATTATTATTAGTTTCCAGGGTCAATTACAATCATTTTTAGTCGATACATATACTCCCAAAATTCTACGCAGTTTCGAGAAAAAAATTCAATGAGTGGACAGATTTTTCGGCAAAATTATAAAATTTCAAATCGTCTTGGAAAAATTATTTTTAGTTGCAGGGGTCAATTACAATCAGTTTTGGTCATTAGACATAACCTCGAAATCCTTTCCACTTTCGAGAAAAAAATTCGAGAAGGTGTGAAATTTTTCGAGAAAATTAAAAACTTTCAAATCATTCTGAAAAAATTATTTTTAGTTGCCAGGGTCAATTACAATCATTTTTGGTGAATACATATACCCTCGAATTCCTACGCAGTTTCGAGAAAAAAATTCAATGAGTGGACAGATTTTTCGGCGAAATTAAAGAATTTCAAATCGTTCTAAAAAAATTATTTTCGGTTGTGGGGGTCAATTACAATCGTTTTTGGTCATTAGACATACCCTCGAAATCCTACAGACTTTCGAGAAAAAAATTCCATACCGAGTATATAATGTGATATATTTAACAACGTATATCGTTGAAGGGACGAATATTTTGTAAAATCCTGTTATTCCGTTGCACTTTAGAGATTCCCTTGGGTGCATCATATTTAAGTGGCATTTTGTAAATGCACGGGTAACGTTACCATCTATCACGAGGCGTTGTCGCAATCATCTATATTTGTCACTCCCGTGCTTCCTTTCTCTGCAATTTCCGCAGGAATCGTTGCGACGAAAATCGCGTGCCCGTCTTTTCTCGGGTAAAATGGAGCGGTATTGTCCACGAAGGGAATTACGAGACGAGGCGCGAACCATTGGCACGCAGATGTACTTAAACAGAAATTTATCCCCCCTGGAGTAGCCCGTATCGACCAGAATGGGATCGCAGACACGTAGAATCCGTTAATCACAATTGCCGCATTTCCAGTTGCAGCGTACTACGAGCTACAATATACCTCGCTTCTATGCAACTAATTCTTCCCCGCTCAGAGGCAACAGAGACGCCCGCGCGTTCGTTTTTGTGTTTATTTCGCGCTGAAAATGTTGACTCCGTGAATAAGAGACAATTAGTGTCCCTGATTACCATATATACTGCAGTGCGTTTAAATTTGAAGAAAATATCTTCGATCGAGGAAGAAAGTGATCGATTTGGCTCGGAATGATCCGTTTCGTGGTGCCGGTAATCGATCTCCGTGTGTAACGAGCCGATATTTCACCGAGAACGGAAGATGACGGGAACGTTGGGGAGAATATTACGCTCTGACCGATCGGTTGGATGTCCGTCAAGAGCAGTGCATCATCTCGTATACGAATTACGTCGAATTAAAGTCCCGATAAAGCATACTGTTTCGACCGAGTTTCCATTTCGATCGCATTTGCATGAACGTTCCCCTCGTTATCTCGGCCGAACCGATCACGCAAATGGCCCTTCTACGCCCTTCCACCGTCCTCAATCTCGGAGTTGAACGACCGGATAAAACGAGAGTCGAAAGAAAACGCGCGGTACCGCTTCATCGCCGGGAGGGATCTCCAATCCGGGAATACATTGTGGCTCTCGAAATGAAATTGTCCTTTCCTATCGTCCATCCGACCCCTTTCACTATCTTCTCTCCTTCTGGTTTCTTCCTAACTTTCCCTCCACTGCACCCTAATCTCTTTGCCGGTTAGTCTCGATCCTGACGATTTCTGATTCCCGATGTCGTTTAAAATTGGCTACGTTGACCAACAACCCGAAACAGTAGCCAAGCGGAAGAAGCTTGGCGAAAAAGGTAATCGAATTCACGGAGTCTCGAAGGCAGGGGAATAAACACCGATCGTGACGAAATAAAAACAGAGGATTAACCCAAAGGTCCGAAAACGCACGGTTGAGCTTCGTATCGATCGAAATTACCATCGGAAATGAATTTTCCAGAGGGTCGGGGCGAAAGCAAAAACGTTCGAACGCGCAAGAATTCGAGTCCACGCCCGGGCGACGCGGCAAAAAGAGGGTCGAAAGGAATCGTACGAGAATTAATCGAGTCCCGGTGAATCTGCATGCGAGCCACGCGCCTCACCCGTCGAGCGACGTATTATTACGTCGAGGAGGGATAGCCGGTATCCCCGCTGGGTTTTCCGCGCGCTAGAACGATCTTCACGAATTATCTCTGTCCCTTCTGGGGGGTGGAAGGACCGGGCTTGGATACCGCTGGTCGTTATCTATGGCAGCCAGTTATTGCCTATTGCGCACTGCCCGGCCAAATGGAGAACAGGACTGAATAATTCCCTCGTCATCTTGCCAAGTCCTTTGTGTTTCTCTTTAAACCCCGGAAACGAAGCTTGGGGAGGGGAGGGCGGTGGTCGTGCGGCGTGGATCATCGCTCTTTGTCGGAAAACGCGATCGCGATTGGAGAGAAAACGCTTGCGTTGCAAATTAAACAAATTCCGTCCGAGTGCCTTAGACCTCGGACAAACTGGTCGTTCACGGTATGAAAACAGAGCAGAAAATTAATCAAATGACGGGGATGAAATCTTTTTAGCCAGCGGGGGCGGGTCGCAAAGTTTCGCGATCGAAGAGGAAAGTTATCGCTATCGCGGATCCCGCGAACGCGAAAGCTTCCTGGCCAAAGTTACGAAGTTAAATTACAGGAAAAGCAAGAAGTCTGTCTTCTTAACAATGCCTCGCATTGCGCTCGGAGAGACGTCGAATAGTGCTGTTCGAGCGGCTCAACTTTTGACTCCTGACCGCTGAAAAGTTCGCGCGCTGTAATTCCCGAAAGCAACAACTTTCCTGCTCCTTTTACTTATTTTGCAACCTCTCCGCGGCTCCTCGATCGGATCGTCTTTCAGACATGCTGGCGCAATCAAACTTTCGCGTGTTCGTGTACCAAAACATTTCATGTTTACCGCGGGACTCGCGGTGGCCGCGCATCCGAAATTCCTGTTCTAGATCGGAGGATCTCCCGAGGGAGTTGCAAATACATACGAAATAGACTCCGTTAGGAAAGAAAGGTCCAAGAGTAGACGTTCTTCGAGGTACAGTTAAATGATAACAGGACGGTTCGCGAATTACGGAGCCAATTAAATTGCACGGCGCGTTCCTCCCGAAATAACGCTAACACGTAAACGCGCGAGGGGATGGCGCGAAATGAAACGGTCGTTGTTTTAAAGCGGCCTGGAAAAATGACAAGACGGTCGCGGAGAAACATTTGCAGCGGAAGGTTAAATTAAAATCTACGACTCCTTCTCGCGTTGAGTTTCCGAAATTTATTAAAGCGAATATAAATCAGCGTCTGCTCGTTCGCGTTAATTAAGTATCTGATGGGAAAGGGATGATAGTAAAAACGTTGGTTGTTTCAGGAACGTGGAGGATTACGCGAGGGAACACGAGGAAGCGTCGAGAAACATTCAGCAGTACCTGTCGAATCCAATCAACGCTTATCTGCTGGTGAAAAGACTGACTACCGACTGGAAACGGGTCGAGGAGCTGATAACCCAGGACGTGGGCAAGTCCTTCGTCGCAAATATCACGAGCTCACGAAGCGACCTTAAATTCCCCACTGACGAGGACCTTAATGGCGCCGCCGTAGCTCTGATGAGGCTGCAGGACACCTACAAACTCGAAACTGCACAAGTCGCCAGAGGCGTGCTGAATGGAGTTCAGTACAGCACAGGATTAAGCGGTGGGCGCATACTTTTCTCACTGCCTCTGTTTCGTTATTTATTAATTCCATTTATCCGCTGGAAAAATGCCTTGCATTAAACGGATGAAACAAACTCATCTCCTTTCTCCCGTCGTTGGGAGAATCGTTCCATTATTTAACACGTTCTCTAACGCTTACAAACTTTTAAACAACGCGAGTGTTATTGGACGCAAGATTACACCAAAAGTAGAGGCTTTAAAATTTGATACCATTTTAGCAGTCTAGCACGTCGAGTCAAGCTGCGATTAAAAAGAGAACTGTCCATCAACTATGAATGAATTTCCGAATGTCGTATGCACGCAAAGCCTGAATTTCCCTCTTTTTTTTTAAACAGTGCGCACGACGAATTGCAAAGTAGGACACACGCACAGCATGCAAAGTGTTTGGAAAGAAATGGTTCGTTACGGGCCATCCGCGTCCCGCTATCGTGTTGGTCTAGCCCCCGAAATAAAAAAAAAAAAAAAGAAAGAAACGCGGGAGGAAAAAAGGGTAGGGATTGGAAGGGAGGGGGATGGAAGCTTCGCTCCACGGTGCTTTTTCGTCGTGAATTATTTATGCGGGTTTAACGGAAGAGGCAAAACGTTGCGAATCGACAGGAATATTGGCCCCGATGTTACCTACGCTTAAAGATCCTTGGTATGAATAATTTACGCGATTTCCTTTATCAGGATCCTGTCCTCGTTTCCGTGCGACTGGCCCCTCTGATTTTCTGCCGTGCGGTTCATGCTGCCGCAGCAATTCGCAACTTCTGATGTCGCGATCGTTTCTCCAACCCCCCCTTCTGCTCCACCATGCTTCTTATTACCTCGAGGCTTTCGCTTTTTGCCGCGACAAGAAAGTGATTTTTACGTCCGCCGTCCATTTAAAGCCAAACGATGAGAAATGGAAGAATACCAAATGGCTTGAAAATAATCTGTTCGCGTACCTCTATCTTTCATATCATCCATTAATCGACATCTTGGAACCATCCACGGTTGGTTCGTACAAATGGAGAGACTTGGATGGGTAGAGAATTTTGTTCGACTTTCGCGACAGTGTAGTTTTACGAAGATCGATTCGAGTCGCGATACGATTCGCGAGTGAATAAAAAAAACAACTCTCTCTTCGAATAAATGCGACGCGAGGGGTAGGGAAACCTTTGTGGCTGGCGAAAAACGCGAAGAAATTAATTAACGAACCAAGTTTCCCGTGGAAACCCTGCCAGCGGCGAGAAGAAACGAAAAAGAAAGAAAGGGGAGGAAGTTCCGCGCTTTGAAGCCAGTTAGAATACATAATAAGGCAGTGAAAAACCTTTAAACTTTCGCTAAAACTTCGCATCTCGCGGGACCGTTCGATTCAGTCACGGGCATAGAGTTCGAAGAGAACGCGGAAGCCTCCGTTCGCGTTTTTCAATTTTAACTTTCAAATTCTCAACGCCTTCGATATCCTTTCGTCCCTAACCCCTGCCGTCTGTTATTACGAATGTAATTATGATAATCGAGTCATGAATTATACAGAGTGAGCTCAGAATCGTGGAACAATCAAGAACAGGGTGACTGTTCGTGGAAAAATAAGTCGAAATCGCGGAATAAATTTCTCTACGGAGTTCTATTTTCGAGAAAAACAACTTTGAAACTCAGTCGAGGCAACGGAATCCCTCCTGGAAGACGGAAGCTCCGATTACGCGGGTCAACAAATTCTAAACAACGATTTGTATTCTTTGCAATTAAGGTTTCTTCTCGCTTACTTCTATGCACTGAAATAGAAAATAAGAGAGGAAACATTATTTCGCTTCAGTTTCAGAAATATAAACCCTGATTTATTTAGTTTGTCCCTTTATGAGAAGAATCTCCTTCGTTTCAAGGTTTCTTTCTTCGCTACGCAATAGTAAGAAGTGATTTAATAAATCAGAAAATCTCGGTAAGATGGACGGGGAATAATTTTTCCCCGGAATTAAGCTCCCCGCGTGAAAAATTAAATTTTGTTCCCGCTCTTAGTCGGTGATTCGTTTCACTTTTCAGCCGGCGATTGCTTCGAGCTGGGACGGCAGTCTTATCACAACCGTGATTACTATCATACGGTTCTCTGGATGCAGGAAGCCATGGATCGGCTTCAGGAAGAACAAAACGCGACCACGACTTCGAAACCGGACATATTAGAGTACCTAGCGTTTTCGACGTACATGCAAGGTTTCTATTTCGATTAATACCAGCTTTAAACTTATTTCGCAACTGGACTTTTAAATTCTGCTCGATACTAAAGGCAAATTTATACGCTAGTTATCGAGCAAAAATTCAAGTTCGAATTTAACCGAATATCTGCGAATGCCACGAGGCGAGACTCTAATTATTCGTTTTGAAAAAGAAGTAAAAGCGTTTGACAAATGCAGCTTTACAACCGTCCGCGCCGGGGTAATTCTGTTAGCGAATTAAAATAACAATTGTTTGTGGCTTTCGGTTGCCAGGCAGAAAAGGATTTGCGAGCGGGAAGCCCGAGGAAAAATTCTACAGCTTCGTAAAATTCGCGCATTATAAATTAGGAGCTAAATTACTCGCGTTTCCGCCCGGTTACTCTGCGGTTACAAACTTTCGAGACTGTTTTCAGTTCTGTTCTCTGTTCTTCGAGCCGCGTGACGCGAACTAAATTAAATAACAAAAATATGGGATCGCGCTGCCGTTTGAAGCGCGAAATTGTTTCGCGAAATTGAATGACACACGATATAAAAAAAGAAAAAAAAACAGACAAACAGAACAATTAAATTGCACCAAGTTCGCGAGGATCGAAAAATTCTTTTGTAAAATCTACTTTGAACGATCCGCGGGAATAGGTGGAAAAAAAGAGCTCGACGAGCATTTAATTGGCATGAAATTTTGCGTGGCGGGCGACCAAGTTCGCCGGTTAGTTTATTTAAAGCTCCATTAAAACTTTCCCCGATGCATCGCATTTGAACTGCCTTTCCGAGATCTTCCGAATTCAAATTGCTGACGTTCAACCCCCCCGCCGAGGGCCCCCGAAATCCTAGAATTACAAAAGTAGTCGTTTGTTAATAATACCTGCCGTTCGCCGCGTCGGTGGGAATTTAATATTAAGTTGCGTAAATACGACATTTTCGTGGCCCGAGTCGGAGTAACTCGATTTGCTAATGAAATTTATTCTATTGTACAGGGAACGTAGCGCGGGCTTTAAGCATGACGAACGAGCTTTTGGAACTGGTACCGACTCACGAGCGAGCATTGGGGAACCGAGCTTATTACCAAAAGGAAATTCAGAGCAAGGCGAGTCAGTCGAAGAAGAAACGCGGCGAGGACGGCCAAGACGATACAGCGATCCCCGAACAAGTAATCCACCGCTTAAATAAATCGTTACGTTTATAAACCTTCGACTAACTCGTGGTTTTTAGCACTTCACCGTGACGGAGGAAAAGGTGAAACCGTGGAAGGAGATGACGGAAACGGAACGGTACGAGATGCTGTGCCGTGGCGAGGTCTCGATCACGCAGAAAATGAAAAAGGATCTAAAATGCCGCTACGTGGACCACGGAAATCCGTTCCTGAAACTGGGCCCGTTCAAGGAGGAGGAGGCGTATCTGGACCCGAGGATAGTCATTTATCATAATGTGATATACGACGAGGAAATCGAGACGATTAAAAGATTGGCGCAACCCAGGGTAACGGAACTACCGTTTTGCGATTTTAAATAACTTTGCGACGCGCAGGATTAATTGCGAGGTTCGTGTTGTTTCGTGTTGCAGTTCAAACGCGCCACAGTACAGAATTACAAAACTGGTGCCTTAGAGATAGCGAATTATAGAATTAGTAAAAGTGCATGGCTGCAAGAGCACGAGCACAAGCACGTGGAGGCGGTGAGCAGACGCGTCGAACTGATGACCGGCATGACCGTCGACACCGCCGAGGAATTGCAAGTAGTCAATTATGGTATCGGCGGCCATTACGAGCCACACTTCGACTTCGCGAGGGTTAGTCGAAACGATCATTATAGCTACGTTAATACAACAGTTTTTAAATTAAGATTGATCCCCATTTGTTGCGATTTAGAAAGAGGAAACGAACGCGTTCAAGAGCTTAGGGACTGGGAACCGTATTGCCACGGTTCTGTATTACGTAAGTCTACGTCTATTTTCTAAACGTTTGTTCGATCCTACGAAACTCTACTTCCATATTTTTCCAGATGAGTGACGTGGAACAAGGCGGAGGTACTGTTTTCACGGCCATTAACATTTCGTTGTGCCCGAAGAAAGGCAGTGCCGCGTTTTGGTACAACCTGAAACCCAACGGGGAAGGAGATTTCAAGACCAGACACGCGGCTTGCCCGGTGCTCACTGGAACCAAGTGGGGTGCGTGAAGCAATTAAAATAGTCTGATTATAGGGAACCGTTCGATTCTATCGTCACGCGCTATTTTTCAGTGGCGAACAAATGGCTCCACGAAAGAGGTCAAGAGTTTTTGAGACCCTGCACCCTCGAGAACCAAGCGGCAGACGAGGCTGATGTCCGGCATTGAATCGACCGGTCGATCTCAAATCGGCAACCTTAGTGGAAACGAACAAAGAAAGAGATAAATTTGTTAATCTCCGTTCGACCATTCAAACGCAAAAAAAAAAAAGAAACGACAACTTAGGACATTGTTTGATGTGTTACGTGGACGAATTACGCAAAAAATTTTAAACGATATTATTATACGACAATGGTACATTTTTTGTATCGGTCACGTAGACCTTTGGGTACGTCAATGTTAGAATAATCAAGGGACGGATGTCGATGGTCTTGAATATTTGCAGAACTTAATAACAACTGCCACCGTTTATTATACACGTTTAAAACTAATCGATCGTTACGATCGCAATTAAACTTCGACTTGCTTTCATTTTCCCCCCGTTTTCTTAAGTAAGGAGGCAAAGTAAGGAGGCAGTTTCCAGAATGAATTCGTTCTAACGTCGCCGCGTCACTCATTATAAACTATCTGTAGCCGTAGGATTTTTACAGGAGCACAACGTTTAGGTATAGCATATGTTAGAAATTAAAGCAATAACAAATTGCACGTTTGGGCCAGTTCGTTCATCCTAGACATAGGGTTCTCATGCTCGTGTACGAGGACACGCGTGAAAATGAGTAAAAACGTATCGGGGCACGAGAACCGTGATTAATTGGCGTAATTGAGTTCGCTCGGCGGAGAGTAAAAAGAAGCGGAATTAAACATTCCTGTGTTCATCAAAGAGTATTCTAATTAAATATTCGCCGTATCGTTCCTTCTTCTACGGACACATTTCGCCTATTCGATCGGGTCTTTTTGTAAATAGTAGTGATATAATCGAGAAGTGAATCAGTGATTCCTTGGAGATCCACAGCGTCTTGTATACGAATCGCTTGTAAAAAAAAAAAAAAAAAAAATAATAAAAGAAGAGGAATGACAGATAAAGTATTAGAGTTTATCGACGAGAATGCACGTTTCTTTATTACCGGTGATATTGACCTTAGCATGTAAGCCGTTATTCGTGAGCTTCAATATCAGTGGTCATTTAAGACGAGAAATCTGATAGAAAGTGTCAAGTAGAAAAGATACTCAAATAATCGAGTAGGACTATATAATTACACGTACCTTAGATGTCACCGCCGTTCTTCGCACGATTCCTGCGTCATCTGCAATTTCAATCCCCTATGCACGTGAAATTCGACGAACGTTCTTTCGAGATCTCGTCGGATAAAAATCCTCCTGAAACATTTACTTGTTACGCCCAAATTCTTCTTGTACGTTCTTTTCGAACATTGGCACGTAAAAAGCCATTTCGAGTGACAAATTTGAACAGATGCGGGCACAGCAATTAAATTCACGTGTACTTTCTTGCGAAAGATTTATTTCCCGAATCTTGGATACTTGAACGTTTGAGAACAATTGCGAAATTACTTACAGTTTCAAATTTTTAGTAGGCTTTCCGTTTAACATCGGACGTCGAGCACAAAAGACACACGTTTCGACGAAGACGAATAATATTTAATTATCAAAGTTCAGCCCGCACGTGAACGTAAAAATCTAATGTTTATAATCAAATACTTCTTTTTAGAACAATATTTTCTAATTCTTTTAAGCATAAAAATTTACACGTAAGCGCACGTATCGCTTGAATATGGAGGAAGATCCGCTACGTAGACTCGCTAAATATGGCGGGTATATCGGGCTCCCTGATTGGTCTGTTTGTTACCAACTGCAGTTTGGAACCAATCAGATCTATTCTTACTAAATTTGGCGCGTAAACGCGTAATCGATGCCCGGCTGTGACGAAACAGCGTTTGAAAAGAATCAAGTGTCCAGAAGCTTTCGTCTTCGTCGTACGTTTTTTTAATAATAATTGTTAGTGTGAGGTCGGTAGTGCAGACGAAAATTGATTAACAAGATGATCGATTCAATTTCGAAAGAATTCCCGTGACTTCCACGTTGTTGTACTCGAAAGCTACCTTCTAAGAAAACTAAACGACTAATAGAATTCAACGTGGCACAACAGACTAATTAAATTCATAAAATATGATTGGTAAGCTCTTTATTGTTTGTAACTGTCAATAGATAAAACACGAAATTTATTACGGATCATGAATAAAGTGCGATGTAAATAATTATTGTAAGAGTCTGAAGAATCATATCGTTCGTTTTGATGTTCAATTTTTGTTTAGATCGGAAACACCATCGATCTGCGTTCAGATCAAATAAAACGTTGAAACACGCATTGTTACGGTTCATTGTTATCGCACCTAATGATCATTATTAGGCTGAAGTAACTTACATCACAGCGATTATTCTCAATCAGCTAATCGCGAAGTTACGATATCACAAAGTCAACTGTATTTCCTACGTAACGTGTAGCTCGTAAGTTTGTTTATAACAATCGTTACTTCATCCTGCTGATAGTAATATAATGTCATGCAATAAATGTTTACAAATCCCGAAATTTCAGTACCGGATATTTAATCAGCCTGAAATAATCAAATCAACTCCTATTTACTATGAAATGTCGTTTTGTTGATACATTTTATAGCCCTGTTATGGTGTCCTGTTGCACAGAAGCAAATTATTTATATATTTTAAATAGATCTATAAGCAGAACCTCTGCTAATACTTTTCTTTACATCTCTGATACTAATTGCTAGATCATTTGATTTTCTCATTGCATCCTTAACATAAGTTTCTTTCCAATCATTAAGCAGAATTCTTATTGGTCTTTTTATGAAATAGAATGAAAGATTATGATAGATACACAAGCTAAAAGGTAAATTCAATGTTATAAGGGAATGTAATAATTTTTGAGAAACACTTTATTCAGGAATCTTACATCAATTTATTATTAATATGTTCTCCTCAACTCAGAAACTGTGTTTGCATGGGGTGGCATGATTGGTAGGTCTGATTGCAACTTGTTATGTATTTGTACATTTCTGGTAGTTGTATTATTATTGTCGATCATAAACTATAGCTACATTATATAAAAGGTTTATAAATCTGTATATTGGTGTTACCATTTGGATAAAAGGAAACTATAAGGACAAATAAAGTGTGTTGTATTCCTCATACAATTAATTACTTTTGTTGGAATAAAACCAATAAAGAAACAGATATCTAAGCTTGTCATTTTTCAGAACATGGTATGCAGAGTGATGACTGGATTTTATAGTTTCAAGTCTTGTAACATTTGATGTACTATTTCTTTGAAAGAAGTTTCTGATCAACACATTGGCTTCCATACTAACTATAGGGCATTCCTAGATGTAGCAATCTATGTTTGCACTTTCTCTGGATGAGTTGCCAGAACAATCAGATCAGAAAAAAAGATCCAAGAGAAGATGTGCTTACATGCAATAATAGTTGATATCAACAGGTAATTTAAATCATGGTGGTGGTATGTAAGTACCCTTTTACGATTATACAGAGAAGGTTGAGATGGCTGGTAATTGTAGGTCTAAACCCCTCGGTGTGGAGCGGTCAAGGGATAGATTACATGCTTGTGATCTCCGGATCATGATGGTATAAGGTCAAAAGAGCCTCAGGTACAGCAAGGTGTCGACGCGCGAAGCAACGCTAATTATTAATCGAAAGCCTTTCGCCTTCCATGCTTCTGGAATAGCATAAATAAGTTTCGTGTCACCGATTGCGCCCCTTAATCGCAAATTCATGTTATAATATCATCCGTAGCAAACTAAACGCGACGTATTAATAGATTTATCGATCGCTTATAAAGTTGCTAGCCTCTACATACCATGCTAGATCCTTTCCTAGATTCTTACAAAGGGACGTTCAAAAACTTTTCATTTGCTAATTGAAAATGCAACTGTGTTTTCTTTTATGCAAGCATACTTTTTTTTTATATTTACCGTCCGCATAAAGGTCTTTACATCGATTACTTGTCCCCCCTAGCAGTTTGATATTAGGATTTCACAAACGAAATGTAAATTTATCACGGAGTTGCCCGACTTTACCCCCACAGGGTGAACTTTGACATTTATGCACGAGCTTCCACGCTACGATCACGAGTGATTGTCCGTGAAATTGACGGCACTCTCCAGGGGAAATGACGAGATAAATGGCACCCCTAATCAGCAAGCTCTATCATCTATTGGTAGAATCGTGAAGCCATCCGTTACAGAGTACCAAAGTATTCTTATGCATGCATAGATCGCAATTTCCTATCGAAACCGAGTTACGTAGACGTAGGGGTTGTTATCTTGCTTGATCCTCGGCCAGAACCATCGGTAGGAGAGAGACGAAGCTCGAACACCCACGGAATGGTCTTTCGGATCGATCCGCATATCCGTTCGTCTTCCTCGTTTCTATCATGGTCTCGCTCCGTCCCCGTGAATCTATATTTTCTTGCCCTCCTACGCGCTACTCCCTTTATCTCGCCGCTGTTCTTTGCTCGATCAGGCCACTTTCGCTACTCATGCTGCGATCCTTCTTAATCTTCTTTTTGGTTTCGCTCCTGTTCGTTTTTTATCCAGCCTTTCATCTCGCCAGGCGAGGCCGCTACCTGGGAGATTGACGCTTTCAATAAACTTTTTTTTAATAAGGTATTTGATAAAAAGAACGAGCAGGAAACGCAAGGGTACGGGAACCGGCGCACAGATTCGAACGCGGTCGCTCCCGATATAGAAAATATTTAATTGTTTCCAAACGCGCGGGTTACGCGATCTGTTGCACAATCATCGTTACGAAACGGTTCAGGTTGTTTCGTAAATGGAATAATGCCACGCGATGAGTACGGTGATGAAAGGGATCAGGAAACGAGTCTTTATGGATAATTAAAATATCCAGCGAGGAGCATCGTAAATAATAAGCGTTAAATTTGGAGTTTCGAGCTGAATAATTACCTCGAAACGGAATTCGCGAAACACGGTAATTTTTTCGTCGTATTAAAAATGTTAAACTCCGGGACGCGTTCAACTTTCGTCGTACAGAACGTCGTTTCCTGGTAACTCCATTTTGTAAATTTAAAGCGCGTTAGTTAGCCATGCATAGAGTTGACCAAAGTAAATAGAGGAATGTGGGGATCTCGCGAACCGGGGACAGATGCTCCCCGCGTTCCCTTATTAAAATTTTAACCGACCGCCTACGATTCCGACGTAACTTCCCGTAACGCAATTATAGAAACAAGTTTCCCGTTGCTTCGAGAACTCTGGTCGATCATCGATTCCGCCATCTGCGTCCCCTCTCGCAGGATATTAAGCTTGTGAACCGACTTGCAAGAGTTATTTTTATTTTCACGCGCTGTCGAAAGGAAACTCGTCGACCATTCCGGGATTTATTCCTTCGAGAATTAACTCGGGTATTCTTCTTCGCCGGAGAAAATGGCGCGCGCAATATCTTCGGTCGGGCGAACGTTCCGCGATGAATAACGTTTCAAGCACTCGATAGTAACGAAGCGTAGTGAATGGTTGAGCGGCGAATCCATTGAAATTCATAAGTGTGTACCGAACCTGATCCCCGTCTTTGCACACGCCAATAGGTCAAAGTTTAAAGCACCGTCGATGCTTGAGGCCGGTCGAAAGGCAGCGATCTCTCGTTATCTGGCGAACGCAGCCAACGCTCACCGTATTAGGGAATTGAACCGGCCACCGGAGGTGAATGCATTCACGATAATGGCTCCTAAAGGACCTCCAAGTGCATCGCGACCTGCATCTACGTGCTCTGTACGCGAGCGATCGCGCCACACGGTGTGCACTGACACACATCGCCCGAAAATGCTGTCCGATATTTCAGTTTAATGGCCGCAGGAACGCGAATAAAAGGAAACGGTCCGTGCATTATTCCCTGCCGTAGTCTAATAAGGGTATCGAAGGTGGAGGAAACGATTTCGTGGAAATTCCACGATTAGGCAGAAGTATATCGACGGGTACGTTATACTATAAAAAGACATTTGTCCGGGCTGTCCCGGTCCCGACGAATCCGGTCAATCGAGATTCTACAGTATTGATCTCGAAATCGCTAAATTTAACGCTTTTATTATATCTCGGTTTGATGGATTCGCGCTGGTTCGTGTGTCCAAGCAAACAACGCGTTGGATTACATTAGGACTCATCGGGAAAGGGTGTAGGGGACACCTGGGGACCCAGAGTTAATAGAATTCCAGCTCTGGGTTAGATCGACGGTCCGATATTGCGTAATGAACGACGATCGAGCGGCAGATGAATGTTGTTTTTGTCGTAAAAATGTCGCACGTGTAAATATACAAAATTATTTTTGCCCCGGGAACCGATAAAGCTTGCATTCACCAAAATAACGAACATTACGAGGTTGTATCGATCCGAAGTCGGTACAGTCGATGCAAAGAGTTCGCAGCTAATTGTTATTTTATTCCCTGAACCGTGGCTCTGGCCGATTCGACGCGTTCTACACGTCGCAGTTTACGATGGAGAATTTTGTTTCCCAATACAGAATATTGTCCAACCGGTGGATGATTGGGAACTGGAGCGAGACATTCGTTTCGCGCTTCAAAGATTTCTCGACAATTTCGGTCGTTTATCTAACGAGAGCCTGCTGTTTGTGATCCTTTTGTTCGTGAAGATGGTTTACAGGGAGGGACCACGCGAATAAAATACGTCGACACAGGTTCCACCCTCACCCTTGCCTTTTAATTAAAACGTTTCCCAACAAATCGCCGGTCTGTTCCTCGTTTAGGCGCAGGATCCTTCGCGAAGATTTCATGCGCGGATCTAGAATTATCGCGTCAATGTCTATCAAAGGCGTTAGAAAACAGGAATCGAACGTTTACGCACGCTCGTAATTGCCTCGTTTACATTTCAACGACCGAGGCTCTCGAAATAAACTGGGAAATTCGTGCGGTTCGCTGTGATTTCGACCGACTGAACTACCAATCAGCTGCGGTTTCATTCGAAAGACGGAAAATATGGTCGACAGCTTCGGTAAACGCGGTTTCGCGTCGAAATCGAGCAACGTGCCGAATGCCGGCCCCTAAACGCATATTTATTAAACCTCCTATCAATCCAATTAAACTTTATAGCGCTTCGTTAAAGTCTCCCCCGTCTCCCTCCACCGATAATTAACCAGTTTCGAAACTATCATAACGCAGATTCGCATTTTATCTCTCTAACAGCTTGCGTAACCTCGTGGGAACATTTCGAATTATTAATGTTCGGGTAATTGCTTTTTGAAAAAATGAGACTAATTTCTCGTTAATCGAAACAGAATGACAAAGACGGATCGCGCGTTTGCTTGCAGAACGAATAAAAAGTGCATCCCCGTTGGATAACGCTGTGAATGCTCGCTCGTCGAGTAAACGACATTAAGTTTCGCGTGATGTAAATTGGGCCACGGTTCCGTGCAGTGTCCGTGAATATGTCCCAAGAGATAGCGAAAGTTTGTTCACGGTGACAAAGGATCGCGCGCGCCCATTGTTCGCCGCGTTTACGCTCGGTTAATTCAATTCTATTTTTCGCGATCGTTTTTTCGATCTTGGGAAGACTCGGTGAAGATCGTAAAAAGATTCGCGCGACGATCGTGTGACCAACCTTCCTGCGGTAAGAAAAGATTAAGGAGCGGGTAAACAAATACACGATGCAAACTGTTCTTAATTAAACACATTTATTGAACCTTTAATGGTACGAATACATGTCGTCGCGTCGTCCAGCGCGTGACGAATATATATTTTATACATCATATGTGTATATATATATTTATATATTTATACGTACGTAACAGAGATTCACACGTTTCGGAGGGACTGGAGAAATTCTCGTTTGCTGAATTCCTTGGACACGCGAGGCGAAATACTGTTCGCGAAAATTCAACGAGCGACCGCTTTCTCCCTGTCCCTTTCTCGAATGCACGATATCGTCGATAGATCGATCGCGCGAAAATGATAAACAGATTATAGGTACAAGGTTCGCAGACGCGTCTAGAAAAATATAGATGTAGGACACATAGGTGCAGTATTGTTTGGAAGTTTCGTCCGCGACGAGATTCTTCAGGCTCATTCTCAAACTTCTCCCGGACTCGACAATTTATCACGCCGCTAATGGACATTTTAAAATGCACGCGACTTGGTTCGGTGTGTTAGAAATTATTAGTCGATCGGTGAAAATTGTCTAACTATCGTTGATCCGTGAATCTTGAAAATAGAACACGTTTGCTGCAAGGGGATTCGAAGGGAATCGTAGTTTTGAGGAAATCCTTGCATCAAAGATGTTCTACTTGCTTCGGTTGTTGTCCCTTTTACTCCGTAAGTGATTAGTAAAAACAATCAAGCCCTTCGAGCTTGTCTCGTTTTACCGATGCGATATTGACTTGTACGCCGTGGGGCTCCACGCGCTCCACAAATTGGGCGTCCCTTTCCTAGTTTAGCGGAGAATTTTCACCGAAAAATATCGAGAGTGGAGCCGACGTTACTCTAATTTCAACGCGTACGCACTATCGCGTTTCGTTTCACCGCAATTAAAATTCGAAACTCCGATCTCGATATCCGCGATCGATGGGGCGCGTGGGTGTAGCTTCGAGTACACCCGACGATGGAGTATTGCTACGATTCTGGATTTTATTGCGAAAACCTTGCACCGTCGCTGTAGATATGCATAGAGCTCGCACGCATTTCATTCTTAGTTTACGATTTACGTCGTGGGTGAGAGGGTGAGGGGAGGGCGAGGAATCGATGTCGAACTAGGGTTTTCACGAGTAGTTGTTGCGTGCTTCGCCACGGTGAAAATTTTCAAAGCGAAATTTGCACGCGAGATTATATTTTCGACACGAGGGATAAACGATTCGAGAGAAACGAGACTTTTCGAGTCAAGCCGTGCCTCCGAGCCTTAAAATTAATACCGAAAGGTCACATCGATACACACACGAGTCAGCTGTGCTATTTTGGGGTATCAATCATCAGCTGCTACAGCTGCATGTCTTAATTACGTCGAACACAACGTACCGAAGGATTTTTATTACATTGGAAAATTATTCACCGAACGACGCTAGCTATCGCGATCTTTTATGAGAAAAACAAACCATACAACGATAAGAGTACGCTGTTTAACAACAAAATTCAATGACGTGACTCGCTGCTGCGAGAAGGGACTCTATCGATGAAAGTACGACGAGTTTGCGATCAACCCCTTCGCTGGGACGGCATGGATCGTTTATTTTAAAATCATAGCAATTTTGTTGCGGATGCTGACCTATTTGTCACGGGAAGTAGACGGTGGTCATCGTGTAGAAACAATGCACACCGCCTTCTATGAGATTTTCGGTATCATTAATCGTAAATTCGTCTAATTAGGAAGCTATACGTCCTGTTGTCTTTGTAATAAATCACTCTCCGTCGCGTATATCCATTTATCTAAACCGGTAAAACCATATTTGTTCTCCACAGATTCATTGTTCACGGGAACCAGGGTTGATTTGCTTGTTCAACGAAGGGGTTGATGGAAGTACAGAAGTGGGCGATGCAAAATCTATGGTGTAGTGTTTGGACTTTCGAACATTCAAATATCGTCGAGAAAGAACGATATACATCTTGCGTTTGACACAGGTACAAGTGCGCCGTCATCGATTTACTCGACAGTGGACAATAGCGATTGTTTAAACTTTAAACAGTTTATTTCGTTTACCTCAGCGCGCCAGAAATCCCGTCTGAAAACAGACCTTCGAAACAAGTTTTCGAAAGGCATACCGGTCGAAGTCTAAACTGTTTAAACATTCCACTGAGGAGCATTCAATGTAGAAATAACGAGTTACTTTTTTTATCCTTCTAGCTACTCGACGATGAAAGAACTACTTAAGTGGTAGATCCCAGTTCGTGTTTCATTGTTTCCGTATAAACAACACCCCGTTTTAATTACATTAACGAAGGAGGATCGTTTCTAAGTAAAGTAAAATTGAAAAAACAATAGGATTGACGCTTGCTTCTCCTTTCAAAAATCTACCAATGGTAAAAAAACATGCGTCGATTGTTCGCGAACGAAGCTGCGCGACCACTTAAGTGTTCCGTTGCGAGTAACGCACAAGTAGAAACAACTAGTTATTCTCTTACGTTCGGATTCCTTCGTGGAATCGTGAAAATTTAACTTCTCTCGATACGACATCAAAGCACCGTCCAACCGATTGTAGAACGAACTTCCCGACGTCCCCGATTTCTCCAGGCAGCACTGCCGCGTATCTTCCGTACCTGTTCTCTCGCAAATCGGAACGCAACAACGCGACGATAATAAGAAAAGAAATCTAACAAAAAGGCGGCAAACAACGACACCCGTCCGTCGTCCGATAGTCCCTTAGCCAAGGTTTCCCTCGACCGCCGGAACGTCCAAACTTTTCTAAAAGATGATCTCAAAATCAGATTTGCACGAAGTAAATCATACCTTGTCAGCACACGCTCTTCGACTTGTTCTCTGAGTTAATTATGTCTCTGTCCTCGCGAAACATTCAAAATTTCGAGCTCTCCGTGTTCCTCCGTTCTTCTCTATAACGAAAAAAATAATTTCCGGAGAATCCTGGATTCCGGATCTTCCCCCCCAGGACTCCGTAATATATCTCTCTTCCTCCCATCGGTTGGACAATGACGAACGATTAATTCATGCTGAGATGATGTTATTATAATACGTGTTATGGTTTTTCCATTCGATATACGTCAAGGTAGACACGCAGTAAGTGATTGTTGGTCCTGGCGACGCGGACTCCGAAGAATCCCCCCTCGAACCTCCGTCGACTAACTTAGATCTCGTAGTTGCGGAACTTGTTGGCGACCTCGCTGGGCGCCTTGGAATCCCATCCGAGGTCGCGACGCGCACCATAGTAAATGTTTGCACCACCCTCCGAGGCTCTCCTGTGCGCGTTCGGTGGTTGGCCCACGGTGTGACCCGGAGAACCACCAGCCTCCCCGGACGCGTCCGGAAGCATGCGATCCTTCGTCTTCGGCGTGCTCCAGTGCATCGACTAAGACGTATTCGATTGCTTTTTTATCCGACATACTTTACAATATCTATCAAACTACGGCGAGTTCCCCTAATGGCGGAAGGCCTCGAGAATCGCTATTAAATTTATACCCTTGCCCTTTGTGTCCAAACTCCCATACGCGACTCAACAACGTCCTCCGTCTTGCGAGAAATTTCTGCTCTTTACGAGCGCGAAATAAACGATAAATTAAAAATTTAAAAATATCCTGTTACGGAAAGCCTCTTGAGAAGACTCCGCGGTTAGAAATAACAATTTCCAACTTGAATTTAAAGACAAAGTTTGTACGGACCAGATATCGCGGTCAATTTGTAGTTTGATTAAACTTTTAGGAGTCTCGAGCGTATTATCGACAGATTGTATACGGTTTCCTCAAAGGGACTCCGGAGTTTCGTAATATCGAGAAAGAATTTCGTATCCCCGAAAGATTCGATCGATGGGCCAGGAAATTTCTCGCACAGACGCCTTGGGATTTCTCCGTTGTTCTCTATTGTCCCGCGAACGACGATCTTTCAGAGATTTCGATCAACCGTACTCACTTGGTGAACGTGTTCTTTCATCCCGAGCCATTGCTTGTAACTGATACCGATTTTGCTACGCCTCCATTTGTCGTAATTGCTCCTCCGTTCAGGGTCGCAGAGAACCTCTTTCGCGTGCTGCGATAAAAATGAAATCGCGTTACGTTCAGCGGAAACAGGTATAGATCGTAACGCGCAGAGACTCTGCGTCTTAATGCAAGGCGAAACGACGCTAAAGGGAAAAAACCAGTCGCGTAATCGCGTCCCGGTGACTCGCGACGATCGACTGACCGCGTAAAAACTGAATAAATACGAACCTTCAGCTGCTGAAACTTCCTCTCAGCTTCCTTGTCGCCTTCGTTCTTGTCAGGATGGTATTGAAGAGCCAGGACCTTGTACTCGGCTGTGATTTGTTCTATCTGAAACCACATATTCTTAACTTAGTCAATGACGTATCTATTAAAACTGTAGATGCCACAATTATGTGTGGGTGGAACCATGAGTGAACTATGTGCTACGATCATTAACTTACTTCCCGGCAATGAAACTTGGTTTTATCCGAAACTATCGTTATCGGCGCGACCAACAGGTGGCTTGGATCATTTTCCAACAAATAAATAACTCTGCGCGAGCCATTGACTTATTATAGGTCGACGTTTACCTCGCTAATAGAACTTGCGAAGAGTAACATTTAAAAATAGCGCCATACTCGATGCAATAAGGCAAGCAAACCGTCGCTGAAGATATTTTATCCTCGCGATACGGATCTAGAGTTTCGCGGCTCGTCTGGATATCGACAGAAGAGATGATATCGAAGTATTATTGAACATGATTCCGGTACAGCATTGTAGCGCGTCCGCTCGTTTCGAGAGCGTAATCGAGACGGGAATTGCCCTCGTCATCAATTTCGCTACTAATGGAAACGAACGATATTTGTCAGGCAATTTAATGAATTCACCTAATGGGAGGGATGGGGTGGCGATGGTGGAGGGGGGGGAGGCGTAAAATTTCTTAATGGGAGAACGCTGGGAGCAGTCCGTCGGCAAACAAGCAAACACGATCGCTCATTAACTCCCGCGCTTTATTTAAAGCGACGCCGCGTTATTTTTAGCTGATCGTCAAGAACGACGACGAAGAGATGGGAAAACAAGATAACCGCTAACGTAATTCCTTGGGAAGGGTCAGCGATGACTTTTACGCGACATTAATGACCACGGGGCGCGGCGAGTGCTCCGAACGATGCGCGATCGACTTTTCTAACATGATTGCGGGCAAACAGCTTCTATGCTCGATTCACCTCGAACCTTTTTTAAAGAAGATCGACCATTTTATCGAGTTCAATGCCAAGCAAATTCTTCGCGTCGTTTCGTGGAAAATAGAAACGCTCGGGCGTGTAACTAAAGCGACGAAAGTCGATCATCGGTGATTCCCGACGTGTTAACAACTACTTTGAAGCGTCGATTGACTCAAAGTAATCGTGTAAACATTCGAAAAAAATATTTGTCGCTGCATCGACGCATCGACCGACTTTGACACTGACGTTAACCATAGCGGGAGTAGACATTGACTATCGTATTTGTTCTGCAGACTGTCCTCCAACGTCGCAAGCAATATCGTTTAGTGCTGTCCGAGCGCTTGAAACTCAAACTCGAATTAATTTCTTAAAGAACCCTGGAATATTTTTATGTATCGATACTCTATTGAATTAAACGTCGACAAATTGATTATTAAATTCTACTTCCGCTGCATTCGTGGAATCGTAGACGAGCAAAAAAATGACATCGTCGTGCGTAGTCTCGATGACGAGACGGCGATCGATCTATGTACATCGAGAAGTTCGAACAAAGTACTAATTAAAGTTGGGCCTGCGACTGATGCAGTTAGTCTCCCGTGATGAGGCTGACACTGAAGCTAATTAACTTTGCATAACTTCGGAAACCGTATCAAATGCATACATTCTATTAACAAGAATTCCAATGTCAAGGCGATACGAAGTAAAAGTAACAACGCACGATGATTATTCATTGGCTATTACGTATGCAAATATCCATGCACGCGCGATATTTGAATATCTGCCAGTCAAATTTTACAAATATTTTCATCCACGATTGATAAATACAATATTAACAACGGTCGTAAAATATTCCATATATTCCTGTTCCATCGCTTTCCATCGTGATCGCGGAAAAATATCCGCTAAAATGTGTATTCTCTGTCAATAACGTCGAACAAGAAACAAGGGATATGGAAATTTTACTGTGCACTTATCCAATATTGTGCCAGGACGTTCAAGAGAATATTGCACACTCTAGTTACTTTACGATATATTGTTGGAAAGCTTTTCTTGGATCGATCGCGAAAAACGTGTCTTGCATTTGATTCAGCTTTCATTGTTCGTTTCATTCGTTCGGGGAACCTTAAAGTTTCTCCGCGGTTGTGCAATTATTGCAAACAACACTCTACTGTTTTAAACTATAACGTCAAGTGTTTACAGTCCCTCACCGATCGTTTCTAACAGAAGATGCACTTTTCAAACGAGAATGCAATTGTTTCCAAAACGACAACAGATGACCATAGATCGTATTTAAAGCCGTATTTTTAGGACTCGGAGAATTGAAATTTTCTGGGGCACTCGAATACGAAAAGTCAAAGGTAAGCTAAATATGCACGCTGTCAGAAAACTGTTTATATTCGGACTATCGACTCGCCGGTAGGATCAACTTCTGTAAACATCAATTATTGATATTATGCCGGATAATTGCGCTCGTCGGCGTTTTCGTGCAAACGGGTATAAAACATGCAATACGCCGCGATGTTCTCGATATATTTCCACCGTCGACGGATAATTTACGCGCGAAATACCGAATAATTAAGCGCCGAGGGAATTAACGTTGCAACTACCGATAATTGGCATCTGCCTACTTCTACCGGAGTGATCAAAATGACCTGTTTTTGAAAAGAACAAGCATCATGACGAAAAATCGTGTTCCTTTTACGAAATGGAACAGAGCATCGTAAACAATAGCATATGTTTTTATGGGCGCGCGAGAGCCACGGAGAACGTGAAAGAAGATATCGTAAATTCTGTTCAAAAATTTAACGAGAAGCAAGAAAAACAGAAAAGCAATTTGAGAGGTAGTTGGTGAAAAATTCGTTGCACGGGTGAAAATGTGAGGTGAATCCGAATAAAATGACGGAAGCTTACCGTTGCGTATTCGTCGCACGAGAGGAGAGCATAATAATCCTCCTCCTCGCTGGGCTTATAGTTGATGGCGTCCTCGACGCTCATTTTCCCTCGTTAATTCCGGTTCTTTTTCGATTGTTTCTCGGACGGTGTTCTTCCTGGCGGTTCGTACGGTTACACCTGGGGGACAGTGTTGGCCGGTGTCGTGGATATCGGTCGACTGGTCTCGAGTGTAACGCGCGTGGTTCCCCACACGTCACCGTCACGTCACTCGTTCCGCGATCCTTTCTCAGCTCGTTTCGAGGATGTTCGCGCGGAGTTGGTCCTCGTCACCTGTTGCCGTGTCGCACGTCGCCCGCTGAAGTGAACCGGACGAGGGAAAACCGTGTCGGAGACCCGGAAAGACCCGATTCCCGGGAAATCTCGAGCGTCTGCGCAAACCAGCCGCTACCACCTTCTCCACCCCTGTGGGAGTCGATTCCAGAAGCTCCTGCGCACTCTCAGCCGGTCATCCCTGTCGAGGGAGTGTAGTTTTTGTTCATAGATGGGCGCAATTTCTGATTCGGATATAAAGAACGACGCACAGTGGGAAAAACTCGCGATTTCGAAATCCTTACTTTTATCAAACATAGTACCAACACTTAAACTTTTAAACTCAAGTTCTGAAAGTAATGTTACAATTGCTGTAGAGTTTTGCAATGAGAGGGATAGCATGGATTTGGTTTGTCTGAGATGTGGTTTCAGCAAGATGGTGTCACGTGCCACGCGTTTGCTGAAACTATCGCTTTATTGAGATCGAAGTTCAACGATAAGATTATTTTGAGAAATGCATCTGTCAACTGGCCACCATGATCTTGCCATTTAACGCCATTGATTTCCTCTTAGATTTCCTCGTCAACAAACCGTTGACGATCTCAAAGCAATCATCATTACTATTATTGCCGAAACACTGCGTTTATTATTTAATTTTTCCATACTTTTGTATTACCATTAAGAATTCAATTAACTTAATTACCCGACTAATATATTCGTAAATTCGTATAATAGCATCGGTCCTGTCTCCCTTAATTGACCGGTCGTACTTCGAGTTAATTAATTAACATTCCTGAATCGAAATTCGGTCGCCCACGTCATGTATTCGGCACGAAACGTTGCGCATTATATTTCGTTTATTGAAATCCGAAATTCGACGAAGATGGTGTCGAATCGATCGCTAAATACGATTATCCATAACTTGATTAAACTCCCTTACCTTTGAATTTCGGTTCCGATAACATCCTGAAACGTTGGCACACTGATTCCTCTGATTCAAATGCACTTATGGGGGACACAAACGCTCCTAATGGAGTATCCGGTAATTGGGAACGCGCGACAATTATTTTCTCGATGCTGTTTGGGATCTAGAAGATTTTCAACGGAAGAAGGTAGATGTATCGCGTGGAACACTATCGACTGGAATTAATGTCGACGCATAACTGCGTCTTGGCTCTGGAGATTCCACAGACTTGTGGCTTTCACTTGCGGATGCTTGACCTCGAGCATTATCTCGCGACGTTACCGACAGAGTGATCTAGATCTCGATCATATGCTCATCGCCGGACGGGGAAACAGGTTGCATGCTTTCAGGGGCCTCTTTCGAACACCGACACGTTTTCATTAGTTAGTTTATTCTTGCTTAGCTTCGGTATTATTTCCCATTCACATTTTTTTATTCCAACCCTTTCCGTATTCGTACCCATTATCACGCCTCACAATTCTATTTTATTATTGCTCAAACGAAGTCCTACGGCCAACCGGATGTTCTATTGTTTACATTCGATGCTAATGTTTACACTCAGGATTAAGATATACGCAGAAACATCAACAACCTAACAGCGTTCGAGTACTATTGTTACCTATTCGTGGTGCACGTTTCTAATGACTATATAGTAAATGCAACATACAGAATTGAATTATCCTCCAATTTTCCTACTACAGCCTTCGTATTAAAGCGAAAAGGCAGAAATATAAGCGTTGGAACACTTTCGTTAGCGAATGTATTGCATCTTGAAAGTCGAGGATTGGGTCTCCGTTTGCTATGCTAGTCGCAGAACGCGAGGAAACCGAACGTAGGGAAAAGACCGTCTCTCGGTTAGCCTGTTTCAAAAGCTAGAAACTCCTATCGGAGGTGTTCCACTTGGCAAATATTTAACCACTCGATTTAATTCGACGCAAGTGGAAGGTACACATTTGCAGAAGTCGAGAAGGCGCGAAGAGGCGACGTCTCGCGGATAATCCTCTCCAACCTCGTACGTCATTAGAAATTCAAATTTTCCACGGGATTATGGGAGAGGACAGGAGAAGAAGACACCAAAACGTGACTGAATGCGGTAAGCTCATTATGTATTCGTCTCGCTTCCCCTGAAGACGGCACTGATTATCGGTACCTCTGCTTACAGCTGTTAAAGCTATTGTCTTGGGAAACCCTGGAGCTTTTTAACGAAGAAAGCTTCCCGGTAACGAGGCGTTTGCTACGCTGCTTCAATTTCGTACAAAGTGTATCATTGGTGTCTATCCTCCTTGAAAACGCGTCGTTCAATTTGCCAGTATTTCTTTGGTACGTATCAAATGCAACGATATATCGTTGTTGGGAAAATAAGTTGACGCTCCCTCGAAACAGTTTAAATTGCAAAATTTTAGGAAACTCCGATATGCTGCTCGAATAACTATATACCCGATCGGTTTCGAAGGAAGGATTTCCACTATTGGATTTCGGTAGAAAATGGTGATGGATTTCTCTGTCAGGCGAGTACTGCCGGAAACAGACGGCTCGACGTCGAAACGTGTGAAACACGTGTCGGCCAAATGTCAACGTTTCTCCCGGTAAATCGGCAACCGGCAGCGGCCACATTTTTCAGCGAACCGGCACGTGACAGCACGAGCCACGGGACCGCAAGAGGTCAGGCTTCTTCTTCGAATTCAGGAGAGTCGCTTAACCATTTCGCTTTTCTGCCTTCAACGTGTGTTCTGCTCCTCCGGAAAGAATGGAAGTACATTTCGAAAAGGCGACGTTCGAACAGCTGCTAACAATAAATCATCGTTCTGTGGTCCCTTCGCCTTATTCCTTGCACGAATCTTATTGCAAAGAATAATCCCTTCTTATTCCTAACGATATCTTTCTCTAATATTAATAAATAATTCTGCTATTCTAAGAAAAATCATTCAAATTGCATTCGAAAGTGGATTAGTCCCAATTAGACGCGACAATCGAATAACAGTTCGTTACGTCGCGTTACGTCTCCGCAACTTCTGTCAATCCTAACCGGGTTAGTCAATCACCTGGGATTAGGCGAGGCACGCTCGGATTTCGATAGTTTGCATGGCGAACGAGTCTCGGAATATGTCCCGTATTCGAACACTTTGTTCTCCGTGTTCTGCATTGTCACCGAAACGTTCGAGGCCCCGTAAATTAATGGGTCGTTGATAATCGTAATGCATCGCTTTAAAGTACACGTGTACCACCGTCATACCGATCCGCGAGGATTGAGAGGGCAGGTGTTCCAGAAATCGATCGCTCTATTTTCGGGAGGCTCGTCCCCCGTAAATGTCAGAGATGAAAGAAACGGATAGTGTTATCGTTGGTTTATCGGAATTAAAGATTAAGCGCGATTGAATATTGTTGGAAGCAGGGGCGTTGTTAGAGATTTTTACCGAGGTTCGCCGATCTCGTTGCCGATAAGGGGGATGGAGAACACGTCGAAAGGGTCACACTGCTCTACTCCGAAAGGAAACGCGCTTATCCTCGCCGGAGGAAATACACGATCCGCTCTGTTTCCGTACGCAGATGCGTGACAGGACACGCAAGCGTGCACGCGCGCAACACTAACCTTACCCCAACAAAAATTCTTTGCAGCCGTTCGTGCACGCGCGACGCGTCCCTCTTCTTCGCGATCGTCAAGTGCATCTTGAAAGAACGCCGACAGTTTTTTCCTCTGGTCGTATTCTCGTTTGGGGGGCGAGCTTTCAAGCCTTTGGGACCATAACTCCAGCCACGGTATGGACTACCGGGTGAGATACTGAACCCTTGGCGCACGATTTCGGATTTTCCCGCGTTGGCGGGCATCTCGGATCGAGCCAATGGCGGAATCGCGCGGTTAATTATATCTAGTTCGAAACGGTGCAGTCGCTGTCGCGTTAGAGGAATATAGCCTCGGTTTCCCTTTTCACGGTTTCCGTGCGCCGGCAGAGTGTCTGCTCCTACGACGGGGGCCCTCCTTATTTATCTCGAAATAACGCTGCTGGCGCACATGGGCGTTTCTTCGGGCATTGCCAGATGCGTGGGTGGTGGCAGTGAAGAGAAGAGAAGGAGAGCAGGAATGACGGTCACATGGCATCGTCGCGAGACTCCTCTTCTGCCCTGGCTTGTCAGTATTCCGTGAAGTGTTGTGCCGTGCCAGCGGTCGGTCCTCCTTCGAGCGCAACCCCGTACAACACGCGGTGGCTTTCGACCGCGAAACCGCTCGGAAATCCTCGCCTCGTCGTTGCTCCGTTTCCCGCGCGACTTTACGCCACGGTACCGAACGCAGTTCAAACCAGAACGCGAGCCAAACTCCATCCGTACAAAAGTGTTTCGACCGATTTAATCGACCTTACAAAGTTTTAGTGCAACGACGCGCTGCATATGTTGCGAAGGACGAGGACAAAAGAAGCTAGTTGATATACGCGAACGGAGGTTCCAAGACTCTTGAACGGTCCAAGAAAACAGAATCAGCCCTCGAAGATTATGGACGACTCGAGAAGATCCTCGAAAGCATATCTCACGACTTCCTGTTTACGCTCGACGGGGATGGAATAGGAACCTCGAACGTAAGTTATTAGAACTTACTTGGAGAACATATCCTTGAACTCATTTTCGTTTACGTTTTGTTAGAGAAAAGAAGTTTGGTTCGGAATAAGAATGATAACCTGTCCTTTGAGAAGCTGGAATCGGAACGTTCGAAGAAACTGACAGGAACATCGTTCAATGTTGATCCAACGCGTACCTCCGAAGTGTACTTAGACGTGCTCCCTCGAGAACGAAGGGAGGAAATAAAAAGTAAGTTATCGAAACATGCGTAGGGCTTCGTTACGGGCGAATAATGCCACCTTTCATACGTTCTTCTCTTACGTTCGAAGAAATAAAACCATCCGCGATTCAAAGTGTTATTTCCGAGGAAACGCTTTGACTCAATCGCGAACTTTGTCCGGCTGATTAATAGCCATTTCGGGCCGGCGAGTGTGCATCGAGGAGAAGAAAAAGGCAACCGAGAATCCAACCGAGAAACATCGTTGAAACAAAGAAGCGGATTCGACGATGTTGAAAGAAAAAATGGATGCAAGTTGGACCTGCTGCTGGTAAAAAAAATAAAAATAGAAGGTAAGACGAATATGGTGTTATGGTAGAGTGAATTTGTTTCGATATTTATCGATCACTTTCGTAATTAGAATCAAAATTCCTCGGCTCTGACAGTGCCTTAAGACGAATTTATTTTCGTCGATGCTAGGAATGTACGGGAACGTAAAGCATTCTCTCGAACTAGAGAAGAATACTGTTCGAAGAATATCGAGCACGTGGACGGATCAGCTGATCGAATGACTATCAATTTTCCGAAAGCTGCATACCTTGGTGTCGTACAAGTTCTTTGCATTTCCGAGTAATCGCAACTTGGAATATTATTTATTTATGGATGGTCCCTGTTAGTCTATATTGGTGGAACGTAAAATGAGAATTACGCTCCACGCTCGAATATTGTTTTTTATTCGCGAGTTTTCCTCGGCGTATTTTGGTAGCGATTTCTGAAACGGGCGTTCGCCGCGCGCGATCCGGCAACGAATACTTTTAAGGCGTCCACGTCGAGAAATCTGTACGAATATTCCATTAGGAATTAGGCAGGCAGCTCACCGTGTATATTAATAGATCGAACCTGACAGCCGAACTTAACCAGACGCTGGTACGTTACGCGCGAAATCGTTCCCCGCGCTTTCCTTCGGACTTTCAAACTTCGACCTCGATGCGAGTTCTATTTGCGTAAGTTTGTACATTTATTTTCATTCCCCGCAATTTCTTTTTTTACACTCCAAGCTATAATAGCACGCTAGGTGACGTAAACGAGGAAACTCCGAGGATACAGGGAAAAATCTTGTGAATTATTTCTCGTAGACCAACTAGCAATTTAGAATGAAAACCAGTCTTTTGCACGATTGAGATTCGTTTTGTTCGAAATCTTGGAACACGTAAGCGTATCGGGATCCTTTTTAAGCAAGCGTCAGAATCGGCGAAAGCGACCACGGTACGAAAAGAGAAACTAAAGCGCAGAGTAGAATTTTTGGCTAGGCGACGGTTACGAGAAATACGTTCGACAGACCTTGATGCGAAGAGAGACGCAAGGAAGGTGTATTCGAGTCTGATTGAACGTGCATGTGCACTCCGTTGGTCCGCGACGTCGGTGCCATAAGCGTCCATCTGTTGCGTAAGCGGCAAACAATGCGCGTAAAATTACGCGTCGCGCGCGAATCGAAAGGTACCGATGCCGCTTATAATTAACAGAACGCTTCGTTACGTCGTTAATCTCTCGATCGTTAAACTCTCCTGGCGCTATTTTCACCTTGGAAGCGCGTAGAATGAAAAGATTTAGATTTACAAGTCATAATTAATTATTAAATAATAAATTAGTTACACGTTTGTAGCGTAGATTTTCGAGCGCTATGCGGTGTGACTCGTTACGTTAGGTCTTCCCGAGCGGTTGGCAATGTGTTACGAAAGGGGAAAAACACGGTAAGACGCATAAGTACGCTTCGTTGATTTGCAAATCGGCTTGATTTACCTGTCCCGTGTTAATTAACGATCCACGGGGCGCGCCGCGTTTAAAAGGGGAGTCTCGTGTGAGTGATGGAAAATTGAACCATTTTTCTTCATTTTTTTTTTAAGGAAATGTTACATCTTATGATTCATTTTTGAAGTTTACTTAGCTATCCTTTGGGAGTATAAGATAATTTTTTAATAACTTTTAATGTTGTTATTACGTCCACAGTAAACATGTGTTTAAACACTGGCGTAGGTGATTGCAGCTCTCAAGATTGTGTAAATCAAAAAATATTTTTATAGTACCAAAATAATTAATTTATGTTGCAAATTGACAAAATGGTGAAAGCTTGAAGTAAAAATTGCAAAATTTCGTTTCTTTTGCAACTTTTTAATAAAAAAGATAAACTCATTGTAACAATTTGATTTTGATACGGTCGAGAACTGTTAATATGTGGAACAATCGAACGTATAGCTTTTGAGATTTTACCTACGCCATTTAAGAAAGTAACGTTTCGAGAGAAAGCAAGATCATACTCATCAATCTCCATATAGAACATATGGATATAGATGACAGAAACGCTCAAATTTCAACTTTTAATAACAGCAGATGTCTCTTGACCCTGTCGTAAACCTTTCGACACAGTAATGTCAGTAATGTCCGCAAGGACTATACAAAAAATGTTTTACAGACCACAATACTTGACATTTATCTCTCAAAATTTAACAGTACATTCTTAAATATATATACTTTTAAAAAATGAAATAAAAAAGGAATTGATTTTTTCGTGGTCTCAGATCAGACTCCCCCCTTAAACGGACCCGCGCGATCGCAAAAAAAGCGAATGCGTGCACGGTACTTTACGGGGGCACGTGCACCGCCGGATGCACTCCCTTTTTCATCCTGCACAAAAGCAGGTGCATCGCGTATGAGTTAAATGCAGTTCTCGTTGACCCACCAGCGATCGACGAACTTCTTTCTTACCTTGAGGCAGAAATAGCCACGGCTGAACCGTTTTCGACCGCTTTACGCGCGTGTCCATTTCACCGCGTCACTGTTCCCGATTTCTCGACACTTTTCTATTTCTCGAGAAACCGACGACCGTACGGGAGCCGTGGGTCGTTCGATTCCTCTCGATGGTAACTATAAAATCGCATCGAATAAATATAATAATCGTCGACCTTGAAAGAAGTGGCTCGAAACCACACGAACGACCTTGAAAAGGCTCGTTAATCAAAGTGTTTGCCTCCTCCGCGCAACAGTTCCATCCACAAACGTCTCGTTCTATCGTCGAGATTATTCAAACAATATAATAGCTGCACTCTGCGGATCAAGCTAGTTAACGAAGAAACAACCACCTAACCGCGCGTCGGACACGGGAACGAGTATCGAAACAACAAAATTATACGCGTAAAAAGAAACGCGTTGGACAATATGACGTAAAAGGAACGATATCGAAAACATGTTTTTAAGGGATTGTTTCTAGAGCGTAATGCTTGCTCGCGATACCTCTTTGAATAGACCCCGCGGATAAAAGAAGCAACGATAAACAGAAACGACGAGGAAGATGCAGAACGTGGTCGCAACATTGCAACGAACGCGAGAAGCTCGCGCATCGCTACGCCGTGATTCGTCTCATCAGCTGATCCATTTGGACAAGGGAGTAAATCAGAGTGCTCGAGCTTTCATGGGAACGATAACCCGAGTCTCTCCTTCTCCCTCTCTTCCTACCACTCCTGGCACGCCACTCTCCGTCTTCGTCGGAAGCCACACGAAAATAGTAGCAACTTCTGGTTGCTGCAACAACCAGAACCCGCAGCCGGAATTCGAACGAGTTTCGACGAAACGAATTTCCGTGGAGTCTCTGGACCAGCCATTAACCGCGAAGCGAAAAAAATTCTGCGCTTAGTCGGGGAACAATACGTTACAGCACTCGGGAGAAGAGCGATCCAGGACGTAGAAAAAGCAGAACCGGAACAACCGAAATTGTATCCTTCCGCGCAAGTGCAGTTGCGCGTGCATTTAATACTGCCTAGCACGAAGCTACCGTAGCATATCTGGGAATAATTATACTTAGCAACGTTACGTTGGGAAGCGTTGCTCCGAGCGGGAGGAAGTGCCGTAAGAAAATTGCGGAAATTAGTACAGCGTTGTCCGTGGAAGGCAGACTCGAAGAAGATGGTTCTGTTCATTAAAATAAATTTTTACTATAGAAGAGAGTCTACTGTTTACAATTTGGGTCTTCAGCCTCGAGGACAATGTGAATTTATTATCGTCGATTCTAAAAGCTCGCCTTAGCGTTAATGTTGGTATTGTTATTCGAAGAGAATATCGAGGGTCAATTGTTGAGAGACCATTCTCGGATCAGCCTGTACTTGGTAGCGCTATCGTTTCGCGAATACCGTCCGGTACGTGCAACGTGAAAATTGATAGAACGGCCCCGTAAATAGCCAGGAATATTACGGAGGAAAATTACGAAACACGAGGTAGGAAGCCAGGTCGCACGGACGACGGCGTAGTGGCAAGATCGCACGCCAATATCGCGCAGATAAAACATGAATGAGACGATCCCATCCCCCTTTTTCACCCCGTCCCACCACCATAAACCTGTCACGATAGTCGCGCGACACGCGTCTCCATGCACTCGTGCTAAATATAATATTCGAGCGTATTTTCAGCGATGAATGAAACTAACGATGAAAGCGTCACGGGCCGGCGAATCGAAACGATGCTACGCGCTGGTTCGATCACGATGAAAATTCGCTTCCCGACCAATTTTATTTCGCACGATCAATTTTTTTTACCTCTTCCGTCCCCACTGTTGGCGTCGAGACTCGGACGCCAGAATTCCGCTCGAATTTTCGGTTCGATTGAGAACTGATTGACGCGACCGTTGATTGATTGGAATGCCGCGTGAAAATTGACGAATGCTCCGGACTTTTTTCCGACAATTAACTCTTTCGGTCCGAAGAACGGATATATACATTCGAAAACTGCGCGAAGGTTTATTTCATACGTACGATTATATCGGTTTGTTCGATACCGTGGATATTTTAAAATTAAAAAATTACTGTTTAAGATTGTTTGACGATCGTTTCTGTTGTTGCAGAGGCCCGGAATACCAGCGGTTTCTCGTGCAAGGGGTCAGCATGGCAGTCGGTAAGCTTTTACCCGTTGTTGGACCAATCCGTAGCCACGTATCTCGTAGACGCTTTCGCACCCGAGTCACGCATAATCACGCATAATCACGCGACCACGTATCGCGGGCCTGGCTACCGCGTATTCCGCCCTGACGATGCGTTTCTCGTTTTTCATTTCGTAGGAGTCAGTAGCGTAAGCTGGCGATAAATTTCATCGATCTGTTCGATTGTCCTCTCGAAATCGACCTCTCGATGCATGCTAAAAATACGTTTCTGTCGACTGTTATGAATTTTAAATATTATACCTTTTTTCTTTCTTGTGAACGTCGCGCATTTTAGACGGCGTCCTTCGTTCCACCACGGCTTATTAAATTTCTTTTTCTCTTTGTTGGACACATTGTTTTTAAATAAATTAAGCTGATCTTTACGTAAAAGAAAACGACTGGCGAAAGTTTTTAAAGCGTTCGACGAATGCAGGGAAAACAGGAGGAATCTGTCGAAAGATCTCGATCGATGAGGCTTGAATTCGTAGTCGACGAACGTACCTACTTGGGAACCGTTCCCGTTTCGATTCTCACACTCCTCTCACGTAACTCTCGTCGACCAGGCAAATTTCACAGATTTTCAGCGACCCGCTACGTCCCATTCAAATACGTACACGATATTTTTTTATCCGTATTAAAAAATGGGAAGTAAAATTTCGTAAATCCGTGATCGGTTTCTCCCCAGGATACCCGAGCAGGATCAATATTGTGACAGCTGAGAGTGGTAGAAACGGGTCGAAAGGTCGGTGGTTCGTAAAACTATTTTCACAAGCGGGAAGCTGGCGGCAAAACTCGTCCGCAGGAAGCTCGGCTCGTAAGTTTCGGCCTAGCTCCTACGTTCGTCTTCGCGAAGTCGATTCATCTTCGAAGAGTAATAACGCGTGGATCGTGAACGACGGTGGCGAACTTCCGGTGCCGTGTACGTCTGCTTCGTTCCTCGCTTCTGGTTTATGGGGTGGGGGACAATACAACGTCCGGTCCATCCCCCCACTTTCAAGTACCATTCGATTCGTTCATGGCGTCCTATAGACATCGCGTATCTCTGACCGAGCAGTCTCAGGTGGACCTCGTATTCGTCTAGTCGCGAACGTTTCTCTATTTTGCGCGATGTTCGTTCGTTTTATCCAGTGACGATCACCGTTCTCGACGAAAAAATCAATCTTTACGATCGACTGCGAGTGCGTGTCGGGTCTCCCGCGATAAAAGTCAGTGTTTGACCACCGTACACGTTCAAACGAAGATGCATCGCGTCGTGTTTATAAACCGCCTTTAGTTTCCTGCGCTGTTTACCCCCGAACAGAGACTTCAAACGGTCTTCCCCGAAGACTTTGTACAGATAGTGCAGCGGTAGGCCGATGAGTTCGCGCAGGAATCAAAACGTTTAGAGACGAAAACGTCTTCGGTCCCCGAATCGAGGAAAGTGACTCTATGACCGTGAGTCCGTATGTTCACAGACAACCCCTCTTACTTCTCGTTGTCGAGCGGTGCAGCGTCGTCGTCGACCGCGACGACGCCGACGTCGACAACGAGCGTGGCCTTCTCGCCGCCCTCTAAAGGGCCCACAGGCCTCACGGCCCTGTTCCGACGCAGGCCCTGTAAAATGGGCACCACCTCGTCCGCGAGCGTCCTCTCCGCCTCCACGACCAGCACCCTGATGCACCAGGAGAGCAATCGAAGCAGCGCATCCGGCGCCTCGACGCCCTCGACGCCTACGGAGGAACGCGCCCCGATGTTGGCGAGGAACGCCATCAACGGTGGATCCAACCAAAGACGAAGCTTCAGGAACCTCTTCAGGTCCGTCAGCGCGAACGCCGAGAACGAGAGAACGCAACAGTTCCTCAAGGGAGATCCACGACCCTCCGACGTCGCGCCCCCCTCGCCCTATCTGCCCCACAGGTTCGTAATCGTTTCAAATTTCGAGATAATTCAAGAATCGTAAAGTAACAGGAAATTTGTTGTCATCGACAGGTCTCACTCTCACTCGGAGAATGACAGGAGACGGCCAGGACGAAGCAGAGCGGTTCTGAAATCTGCCAGCGAGCTCCTCTCCAACGATATGGTGTATTGCGGGCTGTCCAGGGACAGCCACCGTCACGACGATGACGACGATGATGACGATGACCCGGATTCGAGCGAGGTTTTCATCGGTGTCGATGACGCTAGGTCAGTGATCGAAACGAATCAAACTGAATTCTCGCTCGGTCGTGTTACGACACCGTTTTCAACGCGCTATTACTTTCAATGAAAGGGTATAAATTAATCGTAAATACTCCTGTATGCATCGAGGAAAATTGTAACCCGTGTGCTTCTATTATTCGATAGGTCATTGTTTAAAAATTCGAATAATTAACACCACCGACGTTTTCCAGGTACTACAACCTCTCGGCCACTCTGCCAGCGGCTGGTTCAGCGGCAGCAGGTCGAAGAAGACACTCGATCGGCACGTTTCTGGGCAAAGATCGAGGCTCCGCTAAAGACAATCTTGCCAGGAGACAACCCCAAAGTTCAGCCACCCTGGTAGAGCCCGACACCATAGCACCACCCGCGCCTGTAGACACCGTGGATGGTGTCCACGTCGAAGATAGGAAAGAAAGATCCTGTAGCAGGTCCAGGCGTAGACGGCATCGGAGTTCCTCCAGCAGGGGTGAGTCGACGAACCTCGTTTGCTTAATTATTGGGGTGAGAATTTTCGAGAACGTGCTCGAGTACGAGTAGCAAGATCGATACAGAACTCGATAAACAGTGCCAATTACATCACAGCGCCGAACAATTATAACCAAAGAATATTTTAGGGAATGACCGAACGATCGGGCACGTTGGCGAAGCGTGAGCAGTGTCGCTTGGAACCGAGGAAAGATTAGGCATTTACAATTTCGTTTATTTAGTGTTTAAGGTAACATCGGGGTTATTAGCAACCACGCTGTATATACGCAATAATCAACGAACGTTTGGTAGTAAATCATGGCAAATAAACGTTCTTACAGAAATTTCGTGCACGGTGGTTGTACCTATTTTGATTGCGAAAGCACTGCGTCGCGGGGCACGCAATGAAACTTAATTGGCCGATTAAGAGTGCTCGGAATCGACTCGATTGAGATGCCAGAATGAAAGACTGAATGTCGCCTGTGATTCTCACGACCGTCGCTGCCAATGGACCCAATTTCCACCGAATCCGCGCCCATTCTTTCCTCCTTGTCGATCAATCGCGATAATTATCGCCGCCACTCGAACGCCAGGGTCACCGTCGCGTTCCCACGAGCCCGATTTCGCTTTACACGCCCGCATGACCGTCCGAATCACGTACAAAAGCCTCGTTACGAATTCCTGCCGCTGACTCGATGTCGATCGGATCGACGAAACTCGCGTGATCCGCGGCCAGCTTCGGCCACCCTCTTTTTTTTTCGAACGCGTCAAAATTCGGGACTGTGGATCGTCTTACGTTAACATCGAACGGTCGTCGACTCGAAAAGATTCGTCGATTCTCGTCGGTGGTGAAAAAAAAAAAGAGGACCGCGAGATTCTCAGCGAGCCAGGCTCTCCTTGAAATTCGAATTAGGAATCGCGACCCTAAAGGATATCCGGTGATCTTTGATCGGCTCGCAGATAATCCCCGGGGCCCTGGATGGACGTGTGTCGACGACACAGACGACACAGAACGTCCCCGGAAGCCCTGTACTCTTAGTATTCCGTCGAACGAGCAACGCTTTCCGACCTGTAGCCGATCGTGTCATCCGAAACGCAGTAGACGGATTGTAAAATTTACGGCGTTACGTGATTCGTCGATGGCGCGCACCGATGTTCGTTAATTCCGACCCTGGAACTTATGTCGTCCACGTGGCTGTGTTACTTTGTCGTCGATTAATTAACAACGGTACCTTCCCTGGGAGCACGAGTCGAACCACACGAATGGAACGTTCTCTGCGTAGCTAACCACGATTACTAATTATTTAGAATCAATTTGAACGAACTGAACATTTATTCTCGAGAATAAATAAGATTTAGCTTTGGTTTTTTGTAAGCGGAGAACTAGCTTCGAGTTGGGACTCGAGACATTTCTGCGGCGACCTCGCGACCCTTCTCTCCTTCTGCTTTCAATTAAAGCCGGAAATGAACCGTGAATATCCCCGCGTTCGGACTTCGAGAATCGTCGATTCCCCGAGCGGCGTTTCTAGTCACAGAACTCGAGAAGTCGGGAAAAAAGTTGGGTATCAAGCTCGAGTGGACGTGGATAAAAGCTACAGTTTCTTCTTTTTCCATCTACCATTGTATCTCGCCTAATTTAACTCTAGCTTCACAAAAAGTATCAAAAGACGCCCTTTTAAAATTATTTTCTGAGTTTAATACTGTTCCATACTATCGGTACTATATCTGACGCTGGGCCAAGTGTTTCGTTTAAATGGCTGGAATTTGTTAGCGGCAAGGAGCGAAGAATTTACGACGGGACGCTTCCGTTTAACGCCAGCGGTGACGAGATTGTCGTTCTGCGATCGTACCGGAAGTTTTCGTTCATTTGTTGACACTGTCACGTCGTCCGATCCATACGAGCCGTCGAAAGGATACACTCCACTTTACTATATTTTTCTCGGCTGACTATGAGGGCACGTAGCGGCAGGATAAACTGTATACAAGTCCGTCGAAAGAACCGGTGCATCCGGCTATGTAGAACCGCGCCATGTTGCATCCGGACGAGACAGTGCCGTGACACGTTGTCTTCGGTGTCGTTAAAACAAACTGTGTTGACACGCGTCGCTCATTCGTTTTACAGCCTTAACCCATTGATCCCGCAGTGGGCCACATTTGAAATTTACCGGCGCAAACGAATCGAAAATATTACGTAATAGATAATGAAAATTGCTCGTAGACTCACACTGAAAATCGTCCACTAACCCACTTATTCGCCTATGTAAAATCCATCGAACGTATACAAAATTCTTTATTTATTATTACAAAATTATACAACGATCTGAAACAGTTCTGTTCGAAAGCTTTTGAACCTCCGGTTTGTAAACAGAGATCGGCATTCTCTGGTAGGTGCAAAGTTGCGGGATAATAATTAATGATTCTGTTTCGCGTGAGGATGGTCGTCCGATGGCATGTTAAGCAGACGATAGATCAGGTCGTATAGATCTGTTCGGAAGATGCCGGTCAATAACCGTGAAATTAAGCATTCCGCCGGCACAGTCCGCTTTCCATCCGCGTATATATTTACCGGTTATACTTCCTGGTGCTGGTCGAGCACGATTTCCGGTCCCACCCTTGCTGGGCCATCGTTTCCGCAACGCGACGACTCGATTTCCTTCCCTTTCGATTGCCCAGTTCGCTTTCAACTCAACATCCTCTGTTTCTGCTCCGTATTCTGTGAAGACCCACACGAACGAAACGTAACTTTTCATTAGTATCAAAGAAAATAAATCGAAATAAGAGTCTTGAATTTTAACGAGACTATACATATAGAGAAGGACTGCGACAAGAAAGTTTCGACCTCATGTACGATTTCAGGGGTTTGGTCTGCCAATCAATCTGTTAACCTTTTAACCATTTCCTGGTATTCGAAACAGTCTTCGAGATTTCCAAGTGGCTTCTAAGCGCAAAACAAAAGCTCCGCGTTAAAAGAAATTGGCTAGTTCTTCGTGGCAGTAGGTGAGCCGGCTAGACTGCTAATTAATTTAAATTGATCGTCGTTTAATCGTCGTTAATGACGACCACCGGCTGCACCGGACACGTTGAAATTAAATGTTCTCTCTTAGGGACGGATGCCGTCTTCCGCTTTTTATGCTAAGATCGACAGGGGGAAAAAAAGAAGAACTTTTCCTTCTGCGGATAATTATTCTTAATTAGCCACCGACGGACCTCCGACTTTATTAATCGCGCCAGCTCAGACACATCGACGACGATCCAGAATTTTAATCGAAAATTATTACGCTCTCCTTCGATCCCGTCTATCGTAGAATTATTTCGATCGTGTCCGATTTGTTTTCCTACTAGAAAATATTTATCGATACACCAGGAGCTACGCAAACATCCGGATAACGCGTTAACGGCCCGTAAATTCTCTTATCGAGTGATTCTTGCCAGATCTGAGTTTAACGTGCGATTAAAATAAACATTCGTAAACATTTCCAACGTTTTAGTATCTTCGAAATAGTACTTTCTCGAAATTCATACGTCTTAAGGTATTATTTTAAATGGAATTCTTTCCACGAAAGGTGGCCCGCTCTTTCCGATCGTGATTGCAATTATTTTCAGCGGCCAATTGCTCGTATCGAATTATGAAATCCTCGTTATTCTCTTACGGAAGACACGGCCCTTCGAAACGAAGGTTAATTGCGCGAGAAGGGGGGAGTAATTGTTTGAAAATGGTTTCGAGACCCAATTTTTATTTGTGCCCTGGACAGGGATTCGAGATTGTAGTTGGAACGGTCATCAAGTACCTAAACGAACCCTGATTGGTCAATACGCGATGTCCGGCAACTGCGATTTATTCGGTGAACCGGAAGTTCACTGTTGTTCCTCTGTCGATATCTCTCGTACGAATATCGCGTAAATAATTTACCTCAGATTTGATTCAACAATCTACACCCATCTTAATCCGACTCGCGAATTACTTTTCCAAAATATATTCGAAAAAGGAAAAATTAATGAAACTGTTCAAATATTGCAACTCGTTACAAATGGCACTGTTATGCAACGAAGCTACGCAGGAAATTGAACGTCTGCTTAGATCAAACACCTGTGATTACCAAATGCAGGTTCGAATCTGTTTCTATCCCCGTTAGAAATTGTAGATCTCGGTTATCGGGTGAACCCTGGCAATTATCTGAAAATGTTGCGTTTCGTGATAAATTTACGAGAAGAAAGTAACTCGACGAACATCGGTCCCCTGTTTTGCGAAGCGATTTAACAGCAATTGCTATTAGTAAATACCGCGTGAAATGTCGGTGCAGCAAGCGTCGCTCGTGGACGGAGTCGTGCCTATTTCTGTTTTTACAGCCGCCCCTTTATTATTTTTATCTGGCGGCCGGCTGCTTATTTTCGTGTTCGTATGCATTTTCTACGGTGCGTCGACATTCTCCGGGTCTTCTCTATTTTTACGTCATCCGTGAAAAAGTGTCCCCGAATGGGTCGTGAATTTCGCGCGATGCCACCCTCGGCGTCTTCGGATTTCGCGTCGTGGAAACGCTTTCGATGATTCCGTTCCTCGAAGAAAGAGCTTGATAAGTTTCCGTGGTTCGACCAGAAGGAATATTTGACCGAGCGATACGGTAAATCCATACGGTCGTAGATATTTGCTCTTTCAGGGTCCTCCACGATAGGAAAAACCTATTTATTTTCTTCCATGTATCTTTTCGTTCGAACTCTAGGGTCTTCGAAAATGGCGAAAAGAATATCGCGAAATTTTGGTTTTTGCTAACAAAGTATAATAGCTACTTGTAAAAATGATGGAAGAAGGAACATAAGCCGTGAGAATTAGCATGTTTAACGAACCTAGTCTGTCCGGAGGCTAATCGAACGATCCTAGTCTTTCCTTTGTTTCCGTAAAGGGCCGACCGCCCACGGACACGATGACTCTGGAAGTTTTAAGCTCGTTAAGAAGAAGGGTACAGAAGTTTCAGGGCAACCAATCCCACGCACCTTCGTCCGCAA